TCCTCAGCGTACGCCGCCATCTTGATCAACGGTCCTTCTTCTTCTTCTTCTTTTCTATTATGGCGGATCACAAGAAACTTTAAGGTGCATACCGCCACCTACTGTACATGAGTGTGTAGCAGCGTTACTTCACATCTATTAGATTCTATTTTTTAATTTTGTATTCTTCAGGTAGATAAACAATGCTTTCCTTAATTTATGAATACCTGTTATGTTTCCTTCATTTCCTAATATACTTTTAAGATTCCATTCATGCCCTATACTTAACTAACTATTCTCTTTAATTCTTCCCTTTCGAGTTCCTTGATCAACGGTTTTTCTTCTTCTCTTTTTTTTTCTCCTCTTCTTCTTCTTCTTGTGGAGGTTTATGGCGGTTGCCAACAAACTTTAAGTAGCATTACCGCCTCTTACTGGTATGGAGTGTGGTGCTTAATGGTCTATTTATCCATCTATCTATCTATATATATAAATACATCTCTCTCTCTCTCTCTGTATATATATATATATGTACCTTCATATTCTATTCATTTATATAATTCACTCCTTCTATAAATCAAATTCTGTGATATAATTTAGTTTTCTTTAAATATTGAATAACTCGTTGTATGTTTTTACTCCCCAAATGCTTCCTCAAAATATCTAATAAATTAATCTTTTCCTTAATACGTTTAAACTCTTTCCTCATATATCTTCTCTCTCTTTCATATTTATTACATTCTAATATAACACGTTCTACTGTTTCACATTTTCCACAATAATTGCATTTGCCGGTATTATGCTTCTGAATTTTATAGAGTGTATAATTAAGTCCTGTATGTCCAAATCGTAATCTTGTTATCACCCTCTCCTCTTTTCTATTTCGTTTTCCATTTCTTCTTTCTCTTACTGTTTTTTGAATTAACGGTCCTTTTTCTTCTTCTTCTCTTTTTTTAATGGCGGTTGGCAAACAACTTTTAGGTGCATTACCGCCACCTTCCAGATTGGAGTATGGATCCGACAATCTATTAAATTCTTCCTAACACACCCGTTCTTCTTAGAAAACTGAAAACCACATCCCCAGACGACTTCTGAAACAAATCCCCAATATCCAATTTTATTTTATTCCTGCCTAACTCTCTACATAACCTCTCTCTTTCTTGAGTATATTTACTACACTCCAAAAAACATGCTGAACACCCCGTAATATGTTTATCAATTAATTTAAGATTACTATTTAACCCTGTGTCCAAATCTTATCCTAGATATAATATCTTCTTCTTTTTTCTATTACATTTTCTTAATTCTCCAACCTTTTTCTGAATACTATAATAAAACCTAGCATTCCTTCCTTTATCCCACTGTTCCTGCCATTTCTTCTTGAAATACAATTTAATAATATTGTTTATCTCATTTTTACTTATTTTAATATTTAAATCAACAAGACCCTTTTGATCAACGGTCCGAAAACCGGAGTGGAGGGAATCCACGGCAACGCCGGGTGTTTTACGACAGCCGTTTACCGTATTTCGATGGCCGGTGTCGTACGTTTTGCAGAATCACCATGGCGTTGAAAGAGACTGCTGGGCTGTACGAGACACTGAAAACGGAGTGGAACAAGAAAAACCCAAACCTCAACAAATGTGGGGACCTTCTTACTAAGCTAAAGGTATAGTTCTTTATCTGTTTAACCCCTTTTGTGTTTGTTAAATCAGTAGTTTGTCCCGTTTTTAAAAAACCGGCGCTAGTAGCTAACGTAGCTTAGCTTGCTAGCTCAGTTTAGCTAGGCCACCGTTTTGTGAACCTATCCGATAATAACTTGTTAAAAACTTTGGGTACTAATAGTTGTTTGTGTCTGACAATAACAGTTTGGATTTATCAACTCAAAAATATATTTTAGTGTAATTACATCATGATTTCTTGTTGAAAAGTCTGAAAACAAATCAGTTGTTATTGCTAACGTCAACGTTGGAGCAGTTAACGTAAAAATTAAACTTTATTTAGCATTAAGAGCCAGAATGTTTGAATCAGTAAGAGTTAACACGACAACCTTACTTGGACCGTCGTTTTTGACACAACCAGTAAAACACAATGGACAGGTAAACGTTTAAAATGGAAATAAAGCCAACTAAATGTTATTTTCCAGGTGTCATTACTGGAGCTGAACTTTCTCCCCACTGGGGGACCTGCACTCACCAAGCAGCAGCTCATTCTAGCTCGTAAGTACAAGCCAACCCAACCTGTCTCCATTAGCTGTTATAACCGATGTCCCCTAATAGAAACATGTGCCCGTATTGTAGGAGATGTCCTGGAGATCGGAGCCCTGTGGAGCATCCTGAAGAAGGACATCCCGTCCTTTGAGAGATACATGGCCCAACTGAAATGTTACTACTTTGACTACAAGTAAAACCATGTTTTTCTCCTGTGTGCACTAGGGATGGGACGGTTTCTGAACCGTTGGGTTGTGTCTGGGTTGGGTTGGCGTGTGTTGGTTGGGTTCCTGCTGCTCCTTTTTCTCAGAGGGAAGCGTTTACACTCCAGAGCAGAAGGGGGCGCTACTGCGCCCAAAGCCAACCACCAGTAGGAAACCAGAAGAAGAAGAAGCAGCGTAGCCCATAAAAATCAGACCCAGCAGCAGTTTCTAGGTCTGCTGTATGGACCAGTTTGCATTTAGAGGGAAGCTCATGTTGGAATTAGCTCTGTTTCCTCTCTGGCAGAATCTCACCTACTTTAACCTCAGACTGTCACAGTAATGGATCACATGTCAGACTGCTTTTTTCTTTCAATTTTAACCTGACTATACAAGACATAAGAGATTTTCCTAACAATCAACACATACCGAACCGAACCGAAAACCGTGAATCAAACCGAACCGTGGATTTTGTGAACCGTCCCACCCCTAGTGTGCACCATGTCAGAGTTGTTATCCAGTGTTTGCTTACCATAACTCGTCTTTTGTTCCTTGTTTTTCAGGGATGAGCTTCCTGAAGCGGCCTACATGCACCAGTTACTGGGACTGAATCTGCTCTTCCTTCTGTCCCAGAACCGGCTCTCCGAGTTCCACACAGAACTGGAACGGCTGAGTGCCAAAGACATTCAGACCAATGTTTATATCAGACATCCCGTTTCGTTAGAGCAGGTGTGTGTGTTTCCCACTTATACCATCTCCTTATCTTTGACTGTTATCTACAAAAAGATGCTGTATTTTAAAGTGAAACCCTAACATGTCGCATTGGGTAACCATGCTTATTTTGTTTTATATCAAAAGAATTGAGTTGCAAATTGATTTTTCAGAAAGGGAAGCCTGGTTCATGATTCATTTTTAGTGGTGTTTTGACATATTTGTTGTTATAGTTTGTTTTAAATCACAGATGCAGAACTCTGGTCCTCTTTTAAATGTTTCCCTTTTTCAATATGCATCATGCAGATGAATCAGCCAGAGCTTAATGAAGCTTTAAGAGATCCATTTTAATCAGAGTTGTGTAGAAAACATCTGCCTCAGCCTTAAATGATCATCACTGTTGTTTTGCTCCTTACTTTTTTTATATTTTACTAAATAAAATATACAAATGCTGCATTCAGGACTTCCTTCTTTCATAATTTATTAGAAATAAATGCTGGATTAATGTCAATAATCATTCCCGTGTTTTTTTAAAAGAACCCAAATGCCTTATTAACTATTTTTCTCTTTTAAATTTCAGTACTTGATGGAGGGAAGCTACAACAAGGTGTTTCTAGCCAAAGGCAACATCCCAGCTGAGAGTTACACCTTTTTTATAGATATTCTGCTTGACACAATTCGGTAAGACTGCTTTTTTTCCTCCAGTTATTCTGGGATTTTTAACCTTAGCTGTGCTTTTAGTAGAATATATTATTATTTATATGCATGTAACACAGTAAAGCTGCATAAAAATGCATTTGAAAAGAGAAATTTGACTTAATTTGACATGCTTACCCCCCCAGAGTGAGAATAAGCCTTTTTTAAAATAAAGATAGCTAGAACTTGAGCTCTGTGTGTGTTTTTTGTGCAGTGATGAGATTGCGGGCTGCATAGAGAAAGCTTATGAGCAGATCCAGTTCAGCGAGGCCACCCGGGTGCTTTTCTTCAGCTCCCCAAAGAAGATGACCGAGTACGCCAAGAAGGTGAGTGTGTCCCCGATAGGAAGCCTGTTAAAGGTTAGAGATGGACCTATTTATTAGCATTCATGTTAGAGTTCAGATACTACTCTTTAGCTAGTGTCTGAATTTCTGAAATAAAGGTAATTTGATTGTAAAACGTCCTGAGAACAGACTCTAAAACGGCTCAGATGGGGACAAGTCTCTTCGTGTCAGAGGAACCAGCTGGACTCTGAGGACCAGGTTCTGGTCTCCTGATGGGGTCCAGAGTCAGAACTAAACCAGGTTCTGGTTTAAAGTCAGAACTAAACCAGGTTCTGGTCTCCTGATGGGATCCAGAGTCAGAACTAAACCAGGTTCTGGTCTCCCGATGGGATCCAGAGTCAGAACTAAACCAGGTTCTGGTTTAAAGTCAGAACTAAACCAGGTTCTGGTCTCCTGATGG